CTTCTCTGTTACCCCTCCCCCAATATCCTAATACAATTATTTAGTATTTATTTATTCTCAGGCTTTCCTCTATTTATGACTGTGTAAATATTTCTTTCACTGCCAAGCCAGTTGTTGTTATGTGCCATCGAGTCATCTCTGACTCAAAGCGACCTTATGTACAATGGAAAGAAACACTGCCTGGTCCTGTGCCAGCTTCATGATCCCTACTATACCTGAGCCCATCACTCCAGCCACCATGTCAATCCATCTTGTTGAGGAACTTCACCTCCTTTGTTGACCCTCCACTTTACCAAACATGACATCCTTCTTCAGAGAATGGTCCTTCTGACAACATAACCAAAGTAGGTGAGATGAAATCTGGCCATCCTCTCTTCCAAGGAGCATTTGCACTGCACTTCGTCCAGGACAGATTTGTTTATTCTTCTGGCAGTCCATGGTACGTTCAGTATTCTTTACCAACACCACAACCCAAAAGCATCAACTCTTCTTCGGTCTTTCTTGTTCATTGTCCAGCTCTCACATGCATATGAAGTGACTGAAAATATCATGGCTTGGGTTGGGCATGTCTTAGTCTTCAAGGAGACATCTTTGCTCTTCAGTGCTTGAGAGAGGTCTTTTGCAACAAATTTGCCCAATGCAGTACGTCTTGATATCTTGACTGCTGCTTCTGTTGACATTGATTGTAGAACCAAATAATATGAAGTCTTTGACAACTTCAGTCTTTTCTCCATCTATTGTGATGCTGCTTGTTGGTCCAGTTGTGAGGATTTTTGTTTTCTTAATTTTGAGGTGTAATCCACACTGCAGACTGTAGGCTTTAATATTCATTAGTAAGTGCTCCAAGTCATCCTCACTTTCAGCAAGCAAAGTTGTGTCGTCTGCATATCCCAGGTTGTTAACGAGCCTTCCTCCAATCCTAATGCCACATTCTTGTTCATATTAGTCCGGCTTCTCGGATTATTTGCTCAGCATACAGACTGAATAAGTATGGTGAAAGAATACAAGCCTGACACACTACTTGCTTGATTTTAAACCAGGCAGTATCCCCTTGTTTTGTTTGAATGACTGCCTCCTGGTCTGTGTACAGGTTCCTTGTGAGTCCAATTAAGTGTTCTGCAATTCCCATTCTTCTCAGTGTTATCCACAATTTGTTATGATCCACACAATCAAATGCCTTTGCATAGTCAATAAAACACATGTAAACATTTTTTCTGGTATTCTTTGCTTTGAGTCAAGATCCATCTGGCATCAGCTATGATATTCCTTTTTCCACGTCCCCTTCTGAGTCTAGCTTTCATTTCTGGAATTTCTCTGTCAACATACTGCTACAACTATTTTTGAATTATCTTCAGTAAGATTTTACTTGCCAAGCCAGTTAGTATATGTGGTAGTTAAGTTTGTGTGTCAACTTGGCTGGGCCTGGTTGAGTAGCTGGGCAACTAGTTGTAGTATTCCCCATGATGAGACTGGTAATCAACTCCACTGGTAATCAACTGTGAGCAGCTGAGTAGCTGTCTTAGGGATGTGGTCTGCTTCCTGTATATAAAAAGAAGCCTTGGGAAATGGTCTCTAACTTTTGGCATGCTTGAACCCTGCATGTAGTCATGTTGTTGTTCAGCAGCCTGCCATGCTCTGCTGACCTTGGGACTTTCAGTGGACTTGAATTAATGGCCTGCCATGTGGTTTGGTGACATCAGGACATTGCCATTTTATTTGTCAACCTTGGACTTGTTAGCCTCAGAAGCCAGTAGCTGCCTGAGTGAAGAGATGCCTCTAGCTTCAGTGGGCTGGGAGCAAGAGGCAGAGCTGAAGCCCAAGGTCAAGGGGCTTTCACACAGCCCCTAGAGCCTTGCACTTGGAACTTGGACTTCTAGCCTCACGAATTGTAGGAGAATAAATTCCTGTTTGTTCATGCCATCCCATTGGTGTTCTTGTCAGAGTGGCACTAGGTAGCCAGAACAGCATATTTTAATTACATTTCATCTTTTTAAACAACTGTTTAAAAATTTTATTTTATTTGTGTATTTGTTTACTTCCCTTTGCACTTTCGACTTCTTTCCCTCAGCTTTGTGACTCTTCTATAAAATACCTTGGTGCAAATTTCTGCACACTTTGCTATCTTGTGCCTATCAAGTAACTTATCATTTCCAGTTATTCTTTTTTTTCCCCCTGGAAATATTTCTCTTCAGTCCTCCTCACCTCTTGCTCTAACCTGCACTGGTTGACCTTAGACTTGCCGCTCAGCTGTTGTTTTGGGACTTCCCTTCAGCACAATGATTCTCAGCGTGGTCTGCACACTGGAATCACCTGGGGAGTTTTCAAAATTACGATGTCTGGGTTGTACCCTCAGAGATCCTGATGTGCTGTGGCCTGGGCACGAGGATTTTGAAAAGCTCCCCAGGTAATTCTGTTGTGCAGCCAAGGATGGGGATCACTGCTTTAATGCCACCTTGGGTATTTCTTCAATTACTTTTTACCTTGGGTTTCCTGTTTTCTGGATATTTTCTCATTTTATTTCTTTGTTTTTCCCAAGCACATTATTTAATAGCTTTCCCAGAGGAGATACGTGGGAGGTAAACATGTTTGGGTTCTAGCATGTCTAAAACTATCTTTATTGAGCCCTCATACTTAGTTTGCAATTTTACTGGGAAATTGTATTGGAAATACAATGTGTAATAATTTTCCTTCAGAATTTTGAAGACATTCTTCTTTAACTCTGAGTATCAGTCCCTGCAAACTCCAGTGCCATTTGGGTCTCAGTCCTTATGTGATGGCTGTCCTCATTTTCTACCTGGCAGCATTTTAATATCTTCTGTTATTTTCTTATATTCTGAAATTTCATAATTATGTGCCATAGCAAGGGTCCTTTTTTTTTATTATTAATTTTTCATCTGAAAACTCTATCTAGCTCTGGAAGATTTTCTCGTGTTATTTCTTTGATTTCTTACACTTCATTTTATCTTTATGGAATTCCTATTAGTCAGATCCTTGATTTCCTAGATTGATCTTTTAACTTTTCTTAAAAAATATACTTCTTTTCTTCTTTGATTTTTCTTTGGAGTCTCTGGGTGGTGCAAACAATTAATACACTTACTCAGCTGCTAACTGGAAGATTGCAGGTTCTAGTTCACTCAGAGATACTTTATAAGAAAGGCCTGGAAATGTACTTCTGAAAAGTGAACCATTGAAAACCCTGTGGGGCATAGTTCCACTCTGACATACATTGAGGTCACAGTGAGTCCAGGTCAATTTGATGAAACTGGTTTTGGTTAAATTTATCTTTGGCAACTTTTAAAAAACTTTCTGGAATATTTTCTTGACTTTATCTTCTAAATTATATACCAAAACCAAAACCAAGCTCACTGCCGTCAAATAGGATCCAACTCATAGTGATCCCGCCTTGGGTTTCTGAGGCGGTATCACTACAGAAGTAGATTGCCCAATCTTCCTTCCAAGGAGTGGCTGGTGGGTTTGAACCACTCGCCTTCTGGTCAGCAGTCAAATGCCTTAGGCACTACACCATCAGAGCTCCTGTATGTGTATGTGTGTGTATATATGTGTGTGTGTGTGTATATA